CCCCCCCCCAAGCTGGCTGGAGTGGCTTGTGTGGCCACTCTGTCCAAATATGTAGGTACCTGGTAGCTGCCCATTTCTGGGTGAGCCCCATCTTCACCCAGGCCCATGTTGGTCCACCCAGCTTGCCAGCTGCCGCAGAGAGTCACAAGCCTCGAGGTGCCTTCTTCAGGGCCTGGTTGAAGAAGATGGCCAGTGGACAACCTGCTCTTGACTAGCTGGGCCAGAGGGTCAGAAAACCCAGTAGCCCTTACTCTTGCCCCAGGATCAAAGCTCTGCTTTCTCCCCACTGAGACTTGCCTTCCTAATCCTTGTGGCTGTGGGGACCGAGTCTGTAGCTGGGAGCATGCCCTGTTGGGCCTCATGTGAAGGCAGAGAGAGGGAAAGTGATTAGAATGAGTTGAGCAAGAGCTGTTTAGGGCTGTGGGTTCACATCCCGATGGTGTCTCAGAGCTTCCTGCCTGTATTCTGAGCTCCCCATCACTGTTTGTACGGTGAACAAATGCCAGTGTGCCGATGGGCATGTGCTTGTGCTGACAATGGATGCACAGCCCCATCTGTGTGTCCTCGCAGATGCTCAGAGGGACCTTCTCACCCCCAGGAAGTCTGTTTGCTGATGGTCTGGTCTGTGTTCTGAACTCAATTGAGCACAAACCCTGTCCTGTGAATTTCTGGCATTTGGGATTTTTGCTTCACTTCAGTTACTGGTGGGATCTTTAGGTCTTGATAGGACCCAGGCGCCAGCCCCCTTCTGGGGCATGGGAAATCCAGAGACCAGAGACCAGGCCCTGGCTGAGACCCAGACATATGCACAATCACTTAGAATCTTCAATACCCCTCGGTTATACAGCTTTCAGTCACCTAGGGTGTGTATGGGAGGCTGGCTTACTGCAATAAGAGTGTCCCCCTCCAAAAGTTGTACATGAAAGTTTTGTAAATCAAACCCTTATCCTTCATCTTTTGAAGAAGTACTACTGCAAGTCCTTTTGTAAAGTGAAGAATTTTTTTGTAGAGTGGACCCACTGTCCTGTTGATCTCTTGTGTCAATCCACATGGTGGGACATGGTTTTCTTAAGGCCAGGCCTGCCTGTGACATGCATTCCAACCCCGTGGAACAGACTCCACCCAAGTCCTATATACCTGTCATTGTACCCTCAAGTCACCGCAGCCATCTCCCACCAGGCTCTGCCTTTGGGGTTAGAGGGAAAACAATCCCTTGTGGTGAAGGACCTTGAGCACAGCCGAATGCAGATGGCATGATCCCTGCTCCCTCCCCTCCCTCTTAAGTTGTGGGGTCCAGTTTGTGAGTAAGGGGGGAACATGGTAACCCTTATAGTACCATTCTTCATCCATTTAAGACCCCCAACATCCTATTTTGGTGAACTTAGGATTGGTTTCTTTCCAGTACTTGGAAGCTCCTGTGAGGAATCCCATCTGTCTAAAGATGGAGCCCCTGTCCTAGGTCCTAAGACTCTACCTCCTGGCAGAGTAATTTGACTTGGGAGTGAAAAGTGGCCACAGTATGGATGAGTGGAGACGATTTAGGAGATGATCACACATTCTATCAGGAACTCAAGCTTCTGGCTTCCTCCTCTCTCAGACAATATGGATGTTACCTCTCTCAATGTCAGTTTCTCATAAACACCCTGGTCTCCTAGAGCTGTGGTGTAGACTGAGTGGAATCATGAAAGTAGCATTTTGAAACCAGAAAGAACCCTTCTGCCCTCAATATCATTGCTGCAGTGGGGTTTCTCACCCTGAGTGCAGGGCCTGGGCAGTGGGCCAGCCTGCCTGACTGCATAGCATTTGAGTAATCTAGGTTCCAAACCACTTTTGCCTGGATTATCCTGATTGTCCACATTTCTCCAGATTGACCTCATTTTCGTTTCCTTCCAAGGGGAGGCACAGGAGTAAGAATGGAAAAAGATATGGGCGGAATATGTAAAATGCAATACAGCTTCCCCAAACTGGCCTGGGTAGGGAATGGTAAGGCTTCATGTCTTTGCAAGACCTACAGAAGATCCAAAATTTTCATTTTCATGTCCAACTGCGCACCCCCCGCCCCACCCAGCATACCCTTCTTCTTCCTCTGCCTCACCTGTAAAGAGATGGCAACATTCCAAGAATCATATTTCTGCAAAGGGAAGGAATGTAAAGGAAAAAAAGTGTGGAGAAGAGAGATGATTGTAATGACCGGAGGGATTCACGTCTTTTCAGGAAAATTCACATGCTTTTATTGGTGGTGGCAACGACAAGATGGTACAACCTTTATCCTATTCCGAAAACAGAACAGAGGGCACAGCATCTGTAGTCAGCTGACAACTATCTTGGCCTTTGGGGCTGGTCTGGTCTCGTACTTGTGATTTCGATGGTACGTGGCCGCCACCAAAGGCTTGCCCTTGCCCCTGTACATAGCGCGTTGTCCCTGTGGGCGGGCCCAGCACTTTCCGTCAATGTTGTACTGTACGTGATGAGTTGTGTTGGTCTCCGCATTTTTCTGCAGAAGGGGAGTAACCGCTCCGGGTACCTTGACCTTTGTACAGCCGGGAGGCCAACACTGTGGGCGTGACTCTTTAGCGACAAAACCCTTGTGGTGATGATGTGTGTATATATATAAGGATATATTGGGAAGATTTCTAAATAAAAGTTTTACAAAGGGGCCTGGACTCTGTACTTGGATCTTGCACCCCCAGGCCTGAGAGTTGGGACATTAAAAGGAAAGGTCTGACAAGAGTCTGTCTCCCTGGATATAGAGGGGCCTCCAGGACTCAGCTGTTCCCTCAGGGTGGGATGATCCCACCCTGAGGCTCCCCGCCTTAGAGGTTCCATTCTTTTCCCTCTCCCAGGCCTCACAGAGGGGGCCTCTTCTGAACATTGTGTACCTGTACTTGCGGCGCAGGGCCATCCCGCAGGTGGCCTCCTCTGTGTGCTGGGTTCAGCCTGTATGGCTGGGGCAGTGGCTTTCCTCATAAGTTCAGGACAGATTAAGGTCTCACCAGAGGATGGTCCCAAGTGCTCTGATGACTCCATGGAGGCTGCAGCTCTAATACCTGACTCTCGAGGATTGGGGGGTGCAGGTCTCATGTGGGGCTCAGGGACAGGCTGAGGCTTTGGGAGAAGTGATCAGTGAGGGGAGGCTTAGGAATGGAAATGCCGTGACGGACGGGGACTCTGGGTTCGGGGGGCAGAGAGGGCTCTGCATATGGACTGTTGGAACTTCAGGGACCTCAGTGGGTTAGCATTTCCAGTGGAGTACCAATCCTTCCATGTAGTCGTGTTTTTTGAGCCCTACAACGGGCCAGGTATCATTCTAGGTACTGGAGATCCAGCAGTGAAGAAAACCAAAATCCCTGTTCTTGAGTTGCTTGAATTCTAGCAAGGAGACAGTAAGCACGCACACGCACACACACGCATATTAAATATGCCGATTATGGTGTTGATACAGTGAAGTTACAGCACATTAGAAGGTGATTAGTAGCAGGGAAAAAAGATGTGCCCAGAAGGGAACTCAAGGGGCCCCTGGATGACTCTGGCTCCTTTGGGATTAGCCTTGCTCATCTTGCCAGGCTTTGATCTTGGCTGCACCTGTCCTAGGAAGCTTCCAACCATAATCTAGGAGGGCCAGGGCCATGCAGAGCTTGAGGGTCAAACTCTGGCCTGTAGGGAAGCTCCTGAGCTTTTAGAAGACTCCCAAGTATGCATCTCCCTGGCCCAGGGCAAGGAAGCCTTTGGGAAGATAGGAAGAAGAGACTTGGTCCTGGGGCAGGAGAAGGGGGTTCGGGTGGTGAGAGAGGGGGTGGAGGAGAGAGAGAGATGCATGTTCATGCAAGCAAGAGAGTGACGTTTCGGAAGCTATAGTGAAAGGGGGTTTGGGGTCGAGGAAGTGGTTAGCCAAGACCAATGCAGTGATAGCCGAGGCTCTGGTGAGGATGGCATCTGGGGAGGAGGAGAATGGGAAGGGAGGAGTACCTATTTCCAGGAGGATCTTTCCCAGGAGAGGGCAGGGACTCCATTTACAGAGAGGTGAGGAAGACCTGACTCTGTGGCCACCAGGCAGAGTCTGTGGGGCTATTGACTGCCCAAGTGGGCCAGGCCCTTGGGGATCGTTTGGACTAGTGTCTCCATCTTCAGATAGGAAGACTGAGGCCCAGAGAGGAAGAGTCTTCCCAGGGCCACACATCCCATGGACAATGACAATAGTGGCAGGCAGGGCAAGACTAGACTTCCTGCCTCCCATGGGGGACACCTTCTGCCCACCTCAGGGAAAAGACCATGTTCTCGCCATTCCACCCATTCCACTATTTGCTTTCTCTGCCCCTATTGTATTCACCTTTCTGTCCTGGCTGCCATTGTGTTTTTAACCGTTCGGTTTTGCACTTTTTGTTTCTATCATCTGCTTCCATCTTCCTTTTGTCTGGCTAAATTGTCCCCAGCACCCAGAAGTCTGTCCTGACTCTATGGGGCTTCCCTTCCCTCTGTGCTCACTTGTCTGCTTCCCCAATCAAACATGAGCCCCCTGAGGGCAAGACCATGCCTGATTGGTCTATTGGCCTCCAGTGCCCCATGGCAGACCTGGCATGGGATCCTTTCAACATTGACTGAATGAAGAGGTTCCCACGTATGGAAACTCCTAGCTCAGTGTTGAGGCCAGCATGGAATGAGAGGATAGGTGTGAGGCTGGGTCATCCCTACAAAGATGCCTCCTGCAATGTTCTCCCCCACCCCACCCCCACCCCGGCCGAAAACCACAGCTCTGGGCTGGTTGGGGCAGATGGACAGCTCTGCTCTTGGGGCTGCTTCTGTTGGTGGGGAGGCGGGGTGTGAGCTTTCTGGGGCTGGGCCCCAGTGGCCTGGTTATCATACTGGACCTGGGTGGGGCGAGGTGTGGCTGATGAAGATCAGGAGGCTGTTTATCCCTGTGCTCATAGCAGCCCTGCCCCCTTGTGCT